TTTTATTTATAAAATTGTAGAACACATCTGATCATTGTTTATTGTTACTTGGCCAATCATCAGTTAATTCACATATCAAAGAGCTTTGTAAATTGTAATATAAAGTGAAGACATTGGGATTTATACGCAAAACCCGATGCCTCAATTGGGTTCAATAAGAAGCCAAAGAATGTCATCTTTTCTATAATTTAAAAAGATTTTAGGACTTTTTAAGCATTTCCATCAACAAAAACTTGCTTTTTTTACATACATTGCCGTTAGAAATTATTATCTTTATTATGTTTATTATCTTTTTAGATAAACTTTATCTTAAAACAGACTGCAATGTAATTGGTTTTAAAAATTTTAAAATTTTAAAACCATGGTTTTTTCGAGCTTAGCTCACGTTACTGGCCTAAAATTCTGCTTTAGACTATAACAAAACTATACTTAAGGACATTTTAACAAATTTTGTTTCAAAATATGTGGTATTTTTCATACAAATGAGATGCGTAACAAAATCACAATTTTAGCTTTATTTTAACAGGAGAGCATAATTAACCTATAACCGAGTAAAACAAATTTAGAAGTTTGGATTAATTCCTAATTCTCTATCTTTTACTATTCTAGTCTTTGATAAATATATCTTACAGGGTAGATATACAGTTTGAGACTCAAGACACCAAGTGCACAAAAATGTACTAAAATGCACTAAAGTGCACCATTTTAGTGCACAAATGCCCAAGTGGTCAAGAATCTGGCATGTAATGTCCTAGAATAGAAATACAATCTGTTCTTGATATATCTTCCTTTCCGCTGCTGCATTAAACCGCAAATCTAAGGAGGTGGTTGCTCTTTGTACATTTTTTGTAATTGTTATTTTCCTTAACTGAAGTTGGATTGCAGGACAAAATCTCCAATTTAGAATTTTTAAAATTAATAAGTCCCTGTTTCTAAAATTGAGATTCATTTATTTTACATATTTTTGAAAAAAATGAGAATTTGTGCGATACAAGTCGGCCAAGAAATAGAAAAGAAGAAGAAGCATAAACAAAGTGTGTACAAATGTACTGAAACTACTTCTTCTTAAAAAATATTTATTGTAGAGTTAGTAATTATCAAAAATATGACATACCTAATTAGAGAACATATATACAATACTATACTCTGGCTTTTCGCTTTACCCAATTAAGCCATGAAGATTTCATAGGTTGGAAGATTAAGTGAGTAATTTAGATGCATATACTTGTTCATCTCGGTCACAATCTCAAGCTGGCTGTAGATCCATTTCATGATGTGCATGAGTTCTCTTGGTGGCACCATAATAATTCTCTCAAAGGTCGGGTAAGTTGGGTTTGTAAAGGTATTTGACCTAGACTCAGTTGTTGGAGGTGTCCACAGTGGTGTTGTTCATGTCGTCCTTGGATGCCCTTCTCCTTGGTGAGCTTCTGGAGCTAATTTTGCGTGATGGGATTGTTTTCAGTGGAGGTGGTGAGCAGGGTTTGTTCTTGGATGTCCTGGATGGCCAGTGATTTGACGAAGGAGGAGAGGAGAGGTTCCACCCAGGTGATGGTGTTAGAAGAGACGGAGCCACCCCTGTGGATCTCATTCAACTTCAGTAACAGGTGGTTGTCACCTCCTAGCAAGATGGCGATCTGACCCGTGTGATGCAAGGTCAAAGTTCCTGTGAATGACCTCCATTTGTGAAGAATTGAAAATGAGATCCCAGAACTTGAGGTCTTCTTCTATGGCTGAAAGTCTCAGAGTTTTTCCAGTGCAGTCTCAGCTTGACCTCCGTAGTAAGAATGATCTTTCCTTTTCCTGCGTAGGTCATCACTCTCACCCTGTAAGAGGTCCCAAGGGAGTACATGGAGGGAGAAGGGCGGACTGAGAGATCAGANAGATCTAAAAACGTTCAGAATTAGAGCTTAGCAACTTGGCATTAACTAAAAAATATCGAAATAGTAAACTTCTTATTTGAATCAGAAAAAGTTTTATAATAAAATTATTTAAACAGCGCTGTGTCAAATAGTTTAGCAATTCAGAATTAAGCAATTTTCGTGAAAAAATCTGATTTTAGTAAACTGTTAAACAAGGCATTGTTTTAAATAGTTATGGAAGCAGTTGGTGTTTACCAACAAAGCAACTGCAAAATCAACAACAATAAATGGAAGTCAAACATTAAAGATGACAAACATGATTTTAAACATGTGTCATGTAAAATATACCTCAAAATTTCTTCTAGCAAGTACAGCCAAATAATCCTGCATCATTGATTGGAATGTTCATTATTTAGAACAAAGAATTAGGGTCTTTGCTACAAACTTTTCAATTCTAATCCCTACATCTTTGCGAACTAATCTCTTAGACTTTAGATATTTCAATTTAAGATTTCTGAAAAATAAAATAATCTAAGTTTGAAATATATAAGGTTTACCCTATTAAGTTACAAAGATATAATGAATAGAAAAATTAAGTTTGTACTAAATGACAGAAAATGGTTTTATAAGATTATTTAATATTTTGATTAAAATTTCCACATAAAAATAATAGTCTATGGCTGAAAAACATTACAATTCCTTGTGATATATTTCTGGATTTTGAATTGATTTGCTCAACAAGCCGTTCTTCATATCCAATGAAAAAAATGACTTCATATCCAAATGCTTGAATTTTAACACTTTCACTAAAAATACAGTTGATAACTTCAAAATTAGTAACGAAAGGTTAATCAAAGGGACTGTCAGTGCAATTTTCAGTGACTCTTCATTTAAAGATATCCAAAGCCAGATTTACAACGGTACCCTTGAAACAGCTTAGTCTGAGCAAAACTATGGAAGTAAACATTTTTTCTGATTTGGAAAGTGTTTTTTTATGTAAATTTCTCCCTTGCTTCTTGTAAGTAATAAATGCGTATTGCATGCGAGAAACCGCAATTGAAAATAATCAGTTTAAAGAAACAAAAACATGAATGTTTAATTTGTATTTGATCTTACAAGCTTAATAAACCGTTGTAAATAGGTAATTTCCATATTGCATGNTTTAATCTTTATACAATATCCCGTGAACAGCCAATCAAAAGCTAGTGAATTGAGCATTCTACCAATGAGAGAACAGAGAAATTGCTTGAGATCCAAAATTTAGAGAATTCTGCGTAAAATTCAAAAGTGCCCACCCACCAGCTCAGGTATATGTATGAAATAAAGAAATAGACCTCCTTCTTTTTTTGATACTTCATCATAGCTCACATACCACTAAAAAATATTTAAAAGTAACTTGGTGATGGTTAAAATATACTTATGATTTTTTTAAAAGAAAAATGTTACCTTGTTTTTAGGATTTCTAATAATAGTGTTTGGGTTTATTCTGCAAAGGATAAAACCGTTGTTCTTATATTCTGGGCTCTCAAGGTATTGCCAACACATTGTCATTGTAAACATTTAATCACAAATAAATACTACTGCTGACTCAAATTGGATTGGGAACTTATGATAGAATTAGTATTGACGATTTGTAATAGTTTTTAACGTTAAATCAAACCATTTTGAAAATATCAAAGTAAGAACAATTTAATAGTATTTACCGGCTCCATGTGCATCTTTTGATACCAATGTTAAGGGGTTAACTTTTGAATTGGGTATTGCCATCTTGTTGAGGAATTTACAGATGACCAATTGAAAAACAAAATTCTTCCCATTGAATTATGTACCATGAGATGAAATTTTAGCTCAATATCAAGAACAATAGGAAAAAGCCCTACTCAAAATATTTTTTTTTATTTTAGCATGCTATACATAATTTTTTTCCAAATTGTCCAGTAAAACAAACTCAGTTGAGATTTTTTTTTAATTTGAAAAATTGCCCTTAGTGATGTGCAAAAAAGATAAAACATCACAATTGAAACAAGTGTTTGATTCTGATTGGCAATTATATCCTATTATATAAGAGCTATCATTTAAAGTTTTCAGGAATCACTCACAGGATAAAGTGAAATGGAAAAACTACCTAGTTCTTTCCGAGCGCCATTTAAAAAAATTTAGCTAAGCATGTGTTCAATGATATACCTAGTAAAGAAGAAGGTAGCATACAGATCAACAAACGTATCATCATCTGCTTTAACAACAAAATCAGCTTGCTCACAGAAGTTTGAGACCCACAGTTTACCCAGGATGCTCTTGTATGAGAGATTACGATAAGTGTCCAAGAAATCTCCTTGTTTCAGATAATATTCATACTAAGATCTTTGACCTCTAAAGCCTGCAATTTCTATTCTTTGGCTGGAGTCGTAATTCAAAAAAGGTTTAAGGCTCAAACTTAGATCCACCTCTTAAGATAGCTTGTACAGTGTGGTAGTGGGGGGGGGGGCGAGACCCCTGTGCACCCCATATACATGCACCACCTCTAAACATGCACCCCTAGAGCCAGAATTTTTGAATTTGGAGGCAGTATTATTAAAGCTTTTAATTATTTTTTGTTAATTCTAAGACCGTAGATTTGAATGGAAGGATATTTTTAACCTGTTTTTTAATGGTTGAAAACAGCTCTGCATATTTTCATAACTTTTTAACGAAAATTCTTTTATTTTTATCATTTTAACCCCTGGATTGAACAATCTTTATCATCAATATGTATAATCTTGTTGAAATTTAAGCAGGGTGTTGGTGTTTAGATGATTAGTGATTGGTTTGTCGGGTGATTAGTTGATTGATGATTGATGGCTCCTCTACTCCATGACACATAGTCTCAATAAAATTCATTAATTTCAAACCTTTAAAATACAGTTTTAGTGGAGCTAAATATTAGTATGACATTGTTTGTTGTTTAAGAAAAATATTGGTGTAACATTGTTTTACTGTTTAATAAAATAAACATAATTCTGGCAGGTTCTGAGGTTAACATTGTCTTTCCCTCTTTTATCTATTTTCAAATTAAATAAATGAATGTAAATTATTGATTAAAAATAAAGGATAAAATTTGCTAAAAAAATTGAGATAAGTTTGAGAATTATGGTGCTTAAAATTGTATTTATGGCTTGGTTGGAGGATCAGGTTTGGTAGATGGGTCTGGCTTTGTTGAAAGAATAGGTTCAGTGGACGGATCTGGTTGAGTTGAAGGATTAGGTTTGGTTAAAGACACTGGCTTGTTGGAGGGATCTGGTCCAATGGAAGGATCTGGTTTTGTTTTTTTGGTTTGGTAGGAGGAGCTGGCTTGGTTGGCGGATCCGGTTTGCTTGATATGATTGTTTTGATTGGTTTGGTTGTTGGATCAGCAGTAGATGTAGGATCAACAAGTTGAACTGTGAAGGTCAGTAGGGGGATCTTGGATGACTAAAGACTTGACGAAGACGGTGTTGATGGTGGTGAGGGCGTCCATCCAGATGATGGTGTTGGAAGGGACGGGGCCATACACCAGATGATTCTGGGTAAGGTTGCATTAGTATGGGGCCACTCCCTGTGGATCACGATCTACTTCATTAGTGAAAAGGAGGCCAGCAAGATGGAGATCTGACTGGTGTTTTGGGACACATTTTCTTGCACTAAGCGCCACAAATACAGATATGGTATTGTTAAAAAGCTTAAATAATACTGTCTCCAGTGTAATCTTGTCATGATATAATTGATACTGATATGATATTGATATATGATATACTGAAAAGAATAAAAAATATATTTTTCAAAAGTTTTTTGCTCTTTTTTAACTATTAGATTTTGTAATGGTCTGGTTGATAATTATGAACAGCAGTGTGCCACACTTGTGTGAGGGGGGGCAAAATTTAATTTTTTAGGGGCAAGGGTGGCTAGCTCCCTAGTGAAAAGTTTTTTTTTAAAAAGTGATGTTTTTAGGATTTGAAGAAGGTTTGGCTCTGTGGTCAAATTCTTATATTAACCTTGGCTTTTTATTTTGTTTAAAAAATATATTCTCCCAACAGCTATAAATGAATGACATGAGTAAATTAATTAAACATGCGTCTTTTCATGTATTTCTTAGTGTCAACAGTGTTTTTAACCCTCTATTTCTGATGAATATTATGAATCCTGCCTTGTACAATATCTTTGTACTGCATAGCTTCAGACATTACAGAGTTTTGTGTGTTAGCATCAGGCCCCATTCCCAGTAAAAAGACCAGTCTAAATAAAGAAAGAGAAATATCTTTTGTCGCATAATTTCAAGTGAACTTTCATTTATTGAGAGGTATATCCTATTAACAATGGTACCCTTTAACACTGTGTCCAGACAACTATGAGGAAGATGCCCTCATTAGTATATAGCTGAAGATAGAGTGCAGGGAGACTCATGGTAACAGTATACACTGTACAGTGTACACTTTACAGAGTACTCTGAGGCCATTCCTTCCCTAAACTACATTTGTCGACAATTTGACGTCTCCTATATTGGTCGTCAAGTGTATGGAGAACTTATCTATCTATCAGATAAGAAGTTAGCATGCTATATTTTTCTTGGCCCTTAATTTGCCGCTATAAAAATAAGAATATCAATGAAACTTTGAAACTTGATCAAACAAAGGTTTAAAGGATATCGTTGTATCAGACAATTGCCACTCTATAAATGGAAGGTCGCTTGAAATTACGCTTACATTCCCTTAAGATATTTGTTTACATAACTTTTAAAAACAGTGAATAATAGTCGACTTTTAAGTTGGATAAAAATGGGTTATTTAACAATGGTATGAGGTTTTTTTTCATAGTGAATGAATTTTTCAGTTAAGCTCAATTTGACTGTGTCACTCATCTTGCTTAGTAATTATATCTATAAGTCAAAAATGCTATCGCTAAATGCATTTATACTAGGTTATATTTCTGAGAGTAAAATGAAAAATTGTGGCTTTTGGGGGGAAAATGTGAACATTTCCACTTGTTGTACCTTGTATTTACTCCAGGTATATTAGGGTTACCCCAAGTCTCTCTGTGATTACATTTATCAAATTTTGTGTTTTAAAAACTACTTTTTATATTTGCTTTACTTTACATGGCGATTTTTGACTGATTGGTGTCACTCTCAAGGGAAATCCTTGAAATCTCGAGATCAGAGACTCCTAGGAGGGGGGGAGTCCAGAAATCCTCAACGAGTAATCACCGCCACCCAAATGTGTTTTGAGGCAAGTGCGCTCCTCAATTAGTAATCTCCACCACCTCAATTGGTACTCATCCAAAATAAGCGTAACATTAAATCAGTTATTTCTTAGAAATAAGACCATATTGACCTCTGTCAATGGCCCTATGGTGTACAATATTGTTAAAGCTTTCTTTATTGCTCCTTAGTTTCGAAAATAAATCAATAAATATGCCACACTAAGTGCTATAAATATTTTACGTTTTTTAGTTTCAAGTTTTGCTTTAAGAATGTTTGCGACATTTTCCTCTGAATGTTGTTTTAAACTCCTTATATAGAGAGGAAACTTTAATCCATTATTAGTAGACTAAATACTTCATTTTCAGTAAGGGGTGGGATGAGACTAATTTTTCAAAATTTTATGCTCTTTCTATGCATGTAATTAGTTTTGTTGTAGATGTTGAACTCAAGTAGGCAAATGCAAAAATCTCAACACTGTAAAGGTTTTTTGAAAATATCTTATAAATGGAGATGGATATTACTTTAAATGGGATGAGATAATTTTTAGTAAATTTTAAGTACTTTCTATGCAGATAATTAGTTTTGTTGTAGATGTTGAACTCAAGTAGGCGAATACAAAAATCTACACTGTAAAGGTTTTTTTGAAAATATCCTTTATATGGAGATGAATATTACTTTGCATGGGATGAGATAATTTTTAGTAAACAGGCAGCCCGACCTTTTAGTATCTTAACGCCAATCATGAAATGCAGTCATTAAATGGGCGAATTGGATCTAAGATTCGGCTAAAATGAACTGTGCCTTGATTCTCAGTTTTTGTTGACCAAACAAATCTGAAAATAATTTGAAAATTTAGTTTAAGTCAATACAGATGCCATAAAACCCTGATAGATGTCAAAAATTGTGTTAAAAGTACATTAAATTCAAATCTCAGAAAACAAAATTTTACGGTGATTACTAATTGAGGTGGTGGAGATTACCAATTGAGGAGTGCGCTTGCCGCAAAACACATTTGGGTGGCGGTGATTACTCATTGAGGAACTCTGCACTCCCCCACTCCTCTCTGTGGCCAAATAATCATCATTTAAAGTACATCGTATAAATAATAAAATAAAAAATATTATGAGATATCAACTATATACAAAAGCATCGAATTCAATTCAACATTTATAGGTTGTAATATCTGAATTATTAATTTAAGATTGAATTGAATTATATTTAAGATCTGAGTGGAATAATGCAACTCTGTGAATTTGTATAAGGTATAAGTATTCTTTCACCCTCTTCTCGATCCTTATATACGCAACAGATAAAAGTAAAATTAGTAGCGATTGATATTGAATTCAATTAGATATTACACTCCCCTTTAATTTTTCACAAACACTCCTTTTAAGCATGAAGTGTAAATTAAACTCAACTTTCATTTTATGACAAGTTTTTATTTAAATTTTAATTTTGATAAGTCTCCTGATTGCATTTCTAGCCTCCTTATTTGGGAATGCAGAGTGTATAATTATTACCATTCCTAGGCAAACATTTTGTACATTGGATTTCATGATGGAAAGAAATGACATTGATATAAATAAAAATATAGAGAGTGGTTTATATGGAAAGACATGACATTGATATAAATAAAAATATAGAGAGTGGTTTATATGGAAACACATGACATAGACATAAATAAAAATATAGAGAGTGGTTTATTTGGAAAGACATGACATTGATATAAATAAAAATATAGAGAGTGGTTTATATGGAAAGACATGACATTGATATAAATAAAAATATAGAGAGTGGTTTATATGGAAAGACATGACATTGATATAAATAAAAATATAGAAAATGGTTTATATGGAAAAACATGACATAAATATAGAATAAAAATATAGATAGTGGTTTATGTGGAAAGACTAGACACAAATTCAGAATAAAAAATATAGAGAGTGGTTTATGTGGAAAGACATGACATTAATATAAATTAAAAATAGAGTGGTTTATGTCATTTAAAGATTCTCAACAGAAATTTTTTTAAGATTTGTCTCATCAAGAATGAATAAAATAGGTAGTTCAATCACAGCTTAAAAATTGACTTGCGGATTTCTTGCTAGAGAAACAAAGAATGTAGAGAAAATTTAAGAATTTTCAGGCTAAAACGTCGATATCCTCTAGATAATTAATCATATAAAGAAATAAAAGGTACTGTTGTGAATTGGGCATTACCCTTTTTATATGGAGGGCCGGTCAATTGAAATTTCATTGAGACTCTCTTTAAAAATAACTGTCACTTTCATATCGTTAAACATGTATAAAATATAATACCAATAATTGCACAAATGTATAAAGAAAATATTTTTCTAAACTTTTAATTGCGCAAAATGTCAAGAAAAATATAGGTATTTAATTTTAATGGCATTTTTCAGGCTTGGAGGTTAAATGGAATCCAATCTGATCTATTTATATATATATATAT